AAATACAATGTAACTTGATTAGTCCTTTCATCTTTTGACAACTGATGACATCTTTATTACTACTGCCATATGGTGTGTGATTTCAGCCAGTTTTTCTATTGCTCTTTTCTCCACCCTCTTCTGGGCTAATTCTTTGTGCCGTTCTTTTATTTATCTTGATATTCTTATCTATTGGGTAAAGAATGTTCTCAAATATGTGCCATCTATTGAAAGTTCTTCATAGCATAAACACTTTTTCTACATCATACAATTGTTATCAGAGTGACTTATATTAGCTAGGTTCTGACTGATATCCTCGTTTTGTTGGAATTTCTGCAATGAGGACCTTATCATTGGTATTTTTTATCATTATTTACACTATTTATATTCAGACAATTGTCCTCATTTTTGTTGTTTTTATAACAACGTTTCACTCATTTTTTCCAGCCTTCTTCAGGTGTATGTCCACCTGAGCAATCTTCAGAGAATTTTAAACTGAATTCTTTATTTAATCTGCAGAATTAGACTATTTTAATTTCTATGTGATTTTCTATGATGAGGACCTCATCCTGATTTACATTTGAACTAATATCCTCATCTTTTTTGTTATTATCACAGTGTTTCAAACATTTTTATTATTTATTTATCCAGGTAAACTTCAGGCAATTTTGAATTGAACTTTTTATTTAATCTATCAAGGTAGATCATTCTCATTATGATGTTCATGTCGAGGGATATATTGTTCTTTTTTAGTGCTGCTCAGTGACTCTTAGTTCCATTTCCATCATCCTGGGTATGACAATAAACTACATCCGGCAGCAAATCAGGAGATTTTGAGCAATGTGCAACCACCTCAAAATTGCTGTTGTTCTCTGGTCCACTCTGACTCGGGCTGGTAGAACCTGTTAGGGTCCTATCTATGAGCAAATAGTTAACCCACAAACTGGGATCAAAACACTATGAAAGTATAAAAAAAGATTTTTATAGTAAAAATACCAGCCGTACATTTTTTGAAAAAAATGAATATTACCACTATTCAGTCAGTTATGTGCCATGCATGATACACACTTATGCAATCATGTATCTTATGATATATGACTGACAAGGCAGATTTTTTTCCCCGCAATAGGTTGTCATTTCTTTCTGCAGTAGACCAGTTGCCATCTGAGGCTATAAATCCCAGTCTGTCCTGCTGTTTACCCCTAGCTGGGGGGAGAAGAAGAGGATTCATATCTTTGCCAGTGGTATTAGCACGTAAGTGAATGTAATCGATTCGGCTATAATGCAAACTTGGCTCTCCGATTCCACAATCCAAGCCACTATTCATTACTCCACCATGCCTCCATTACCAGCAATACATTTTGGAAAAGAAAAAAATATAAACATATTCTGTTCATATGAATCTATCCTAAAAATCTTGTTGGCATTAAGTAATCCACTTAGGCTGATATGCTGTAAAACAAAATAAACCAAACCTGTTTTCATGGAGTCTGAGTTTGTAATATCACACACAGGGATTGAACTCACTAATTCTTTAATCCACTAATCTATTTCCCATTAAAACAACCTGGAAAGCACAATGGCCTCACTGTATTGATATGAAGATATTAGTCCAAATTTAAATAACAACTCCTTATCACAGAAGATTTTATGATATTTCAATGTCTGCTGCTTATGCCTAAATAAAACCCCAAAATTGAATTAAGAAAACATGGGTGTGTCATCTAATGGCCTCGAGAAACCTTGGATTATGTCTCCGCTGCTGATGGTGATGCAGCATCTGTCATCCCCAGGGCACAGGCCTGGGTGAGGTTTGATGAGATTTGCAGCTGCCATGCCGAATGTTTCTCTTCTCCATGCCTCCAATGTTGTCCAAGGGAAAGGTAGAGTCCAATACAGCTTGGCACTGGTGTCATTATAAAACAATTTCAGAACGAAGCTGAACACCACATAGGAATGTTTTAGGGACTGCGGGTTTGGATTTTACTCTCAGGTTTTACTCACAAAGCCTCACCTATGATTGGATATGGTTGCAAAGCAGTGGATGTTTCAAATCTGTTATATAGGAATAAAGTGTCACTGCCGACACTGGAGTTTGAACACAGATCACCAGAGAGCAAATACAGGTGATCACATTTTGAATACGTAGATCATGTGATGGTAAAGGAAACTTATATATGGGAATTAGCGTGGCGTGTAAGTGGTCACTATACAGATTACTATTCGAGCGAGTATTATCAAGCAAGTACTATCAGTGTCATTGTTATTCACAGGTGTCTGACACCAGTATTGTTCAACAGCGTTACTATAGTTCTATCTGTGATTACAAAGTCTCTAATACAACTAGCATTATGAAAGTGACAATGAGTATTTGTTGACATTACAAAAGTGGCAATGAGTGTTTGTTGACATCACAAAAAAAAAAAAATCAGTTTTTCTTCTCTTAGATAGACTAAACCCGCTGGACTGATGAGTTCTGTCTACCCGAAGTATTTCGATTCATGCATAAATACACACACACACACACATATATATATACATATATATATATTACACTGGATGTTAAAGTAAACAGTTTGTAATGAAATGTACCAAATGTATTATTATATACAGGGTGCGATGGATAAATTTTCGTTCAAATTATCCAATAATGAAAATAACTGACATTTCATTTTAACGTTTTACCAAAATTACAGAAAAATATCTTGAAATACTAAAGAGTAAATTTATTCAAGAAAATCATCATTCAGTTCAATCAGATGACTTTGGAATCTCCTGCAACTCTTTTAGACATTCTCCTTGCTTAAGCATGCAACACCTTAAGCAAGCAACACCTTAAGCATGCAACACCTTAAGCAAGCAACACCTTAAGCATGCAACACCTTATGCTGACATAATTTTTTGCCTTCAGTTCATCTTTGGTGTTACAAGGAGTTTTATTAGTCTCTTGCTCAACTTCACCCCCACACATAATAATCAAAGGGGGTTGCAATCTGGGGAATTAAGTGGCCAGATGTAAGGGGTGATGTGATCGGAGAAATTTTTTGACTCCCATGACTGGGTTCTCCAGCTTGTGTGTCATGGTGCAGATTCTTGTTGCCAGACAGCCACCCTCATAACCTAAGGCAGCACTACCCCCTCAAGGCACTTGATGTTGGCATCTGTGTTGAGTTTGAGGCCCTGTGGGAAGATAAATGGAGGCATAACATCGTCATCACTAGTGATCACCCCCAAATACCTTCATAATAACCATTTGACTCATTTGATTGTTTCTGAATCCTTTGAACTATCCTCAGATTGACACCCAAAGACTCTGAAATGTTTGTACTGGAGCTTATGGCACGGATGCCAAGCAGTACAGCATGCTGTTTCCAAATTTCTGGCAGAGTGAATTGATCATGGTGCTCATTTACTCACAGACAGTGCTCAACTGACCCGACTCTGCTGTGGACAAAATCAAAAACAAATAATGCGCATGTGTGAAATTAAAAATATAAAATAGTGACAATTTACCCATTGTACCCTTTATATTTTTAAAATGATAATAATAGAAATTGATAAATAAGAAAAGAATAAAAGTATAAAATTATTATCAAAGATATGAGAACATTTTTATTATTATTATTATTATGAAGAAATATACTCTTAAGGTGTATATATGGGATTAAGTGCTCCATATCAGAGACAGAGCATGTGTAAATATAAAAGTGAACATTGAAATCACCACTTAGAGGCGACAGGCTGTTTCATGCTAGACGCAATCGTCAGGCCATGCTAGATGTATCGTGGCCTGACGATTGCGCTTAGCATGAAACAGCCTGTCGCCTCTAAGTGTTGACTTCAATGTTCACTTTTATATTATTATTATTATTATTATTATTATAAATATTATAGTACCAGTAACTCCTGACCATTGACAATTCCTTCTTTTTTTTTTTTCAAAGCACAACATGCAGATTCAGTGCTGAAACCTACTAAAACAGATTTTAGATACAAACAAAGGTGGGAGAACAGCAGTTGGGGGGGTGGTTCAGATCTAAAATCAGAAATCTAGGGTCATAATTCTAAAGTTCATAAATCAAGTCTTGTATGGCCAAAGTCAAAAATACAGGTGGTGTAAATCAAAAAGAGTAAAAAATCAAAGAATTCTGAATTCTGCTGTTATCAAAAGTAATGCTCATTTTGCGGGATAAGAATGGCAGTAATTGGCAAAAATTAGCATATTTCAATGCCTTACTGAAATAGACCCCCATCTTGATTTTGATTTTCCTTTTCAATGGACAGCATAGAGAACATAATTTTTTTACAAGGTAGGATTTTGTCCTCTCTTTCATCGCCACAGCAAACATTACAAAATTGGCCATCTAACTGATAGTTTTTCTCTGTCTGCTAAAAATATTTAGTTTGTGTAAAAAGTATTAAAACCTCAGCAGAGGAGTCATTGTGTTGTACTGATGTCAGTTGCTGAGATAAGGACGGATAAAACTTAAATGCACTTTTTAGAAAAATAAACCCTGAACAATGTTATATATTTTTATACCGACTCTTGAAAAACTTCCGCAGTATTTCATAGATAAATCAAAGCAGAAAGCTTACCAGATTTATAAAAATAGAAAAGTAAATACAGGTTGAGAATCCGTTATCCCAAATTCTTGGGACCAGAACTGCTTCGGTTTTCAGATTTTTTTTTATTTTAGAATACAGGCGGTTTAATTTGTCTATAGCATCTATAAAATGAGGCATATTGGGAATGGAACCCAAGCATAAACACAATATCCCTTTGCATTTCATAACACAGTTTATACGTATACCCTGAAGATTTATATAAGTGACGTATGTTCACTGACAATTCTACTCCATCAATACATGATCGAGATCATCACTTTTTGCTCTGTACAGTGTTTTTGTATTTTTTTTATTAATTTCTGTTCATCATTTGCAGCATAAAACTCTAACAATTTCTCCCTCTGTTACCTTCAGTCATATTTGGTGATTGTTCCAACGCCAAACTCTTCAGTTAAATGCTTCACGTTTACACCCGTTTGTGACTTTCATAAACATAAATGCTTGCTTTTTTCTTTCTTTTTTTTTTGTGATGTTAACGAACACATGTTGCCACTTTCGTGATGTCAATGAATACTTGTTACTTTTGTAATGCTCATTGTAGTAGAGACTTTGTAATCGCATATACAACTATAGTAACACCGTTGAACAATACTGGTGTCAGACACCTTCAAATAGCACTTGCTTGATAATATTCGCTCGACAAGTAACTCGTATAGTGATCTGAATAGAGAAATAGTATAGTGAATAGAGAATAGTTGTCCATATATGTTGTGGAGTGATTTCACAGTGGAGGCTTGTATTTGTACTAAGTCGGTCCTAAAATAGGTTCGACATACAAAACGTTAGGAACTTGATATAACAGGTATAACACTGAGTAATCTAGTTGTGGTCGTTGATACTTTAGTATTCGACTAATTGTCGTCAGACATCGACTGACTGACTGACTGACTGATTCCCTGAGCAACTCTTACTACTACTACTTATTATAGGTGGGAGAGTCTATTAACTACAGAATAGGTGTGTTCCACTATAACAATATAGTAATAGAGGATAGACTAGAAATGGCGATTTCTATAGTACAGAGGATAGACTAGTAATAGCGATCGTTAGTAGTCAAGATACTTTCTACTTAATGTGTTTCCTCTATGGTCATGTGATCCACTTAATTCAATAATGGGATTGCCTGTGTTTGCTTACTGGTGATCAAGGTTCAAATTGAAGTGTCAGCAGCGACACTTTATTCCAATATACCACTTTTCAATAACCATATGATTATGTGCAGGACCTTTAGACATTTTGAATAATATCTTTACTGATCACAAAGCACCTGCTAAGTAATCCATGAATGAAGATGTAGCTGTGACAATTGCTAACAAAAAAAACTGGTGGCAATGTAGGCTACATAGTTGTTGTTGTGGAACCCCCCCACCCAGGGTAGGTACAACAACTGCACATTACCTAGAAACATTCCTAGTGTTTTCTGAAATTTTCCTTTTGTTGTAAGTCATGTCAGCACCTGAAAAACTTTGAGATTTTGGAATTTCGGATAATGGATACTCAGTCTGTGTTAGACGTTGATCTTATATGAATATAAATTGATTTTTCTTTTCAATAACCATATGTGTATCTGAAGAACTTTTTGACATTTTGAATAATATCTTTACTGAGCATGAAACACCTGGTAAGCAATCCTTGAAAGAAGGTGTTGCTATGATGAACATTAACAAAAAACTAGCACCAAGCTATGTAGCTGGGCTGAGAGACCCCTACCCAGGGTAGATAAGGTCACTTATAACAGCTGCACGCCACCTAGGAACCTCCCTATTGCTTTCTCAAATTTTCCATTTATGGCAAGTCATTTCAGCACCTGAAAAACTTTTGGATTTTGGAGGTTTTCAGATTTGCGAATTTCAGATGAATGATGCTTAACCTATAAGATAAATCATCTTTTCTAAAACTAGATGCATAATGACTCACCAATTCAATAACAAATGCAGTTTAAAAGAATTTATATAAAATTTGTCACAACTCAAGCAAAACACTAAGAGATTTAATACAAAACAAAATGGTGACAACTAATGTATCACTCTACATACAGTGTTTTTCCTTGATATAATGCACTATTTCCCAACCCCCCAATATTTATCCAAAAACCATCCTACATTTTACACCCCAAGGATTCAGTTACTGACATGAAACTAATGCTTAAACACACTAATCTCCTGACGACCCTCGAATGAAATATATATGATTATAAATGATTATATTAGTATTATAAATCAAAATAATGTTAGAGTAAAAAATAAAAAAAATAAATGATATATAAGTAAAGATGAATTATCAGTTGAATATTTTTTTTTTTTTAAATATTTCTTGACAGTATTATGTACATTGCATATTATCTGGTGCAAAATATAGTAATTAAGGTGAATAAAAAAATTTGATGTACTTTTATAAATCCTATGTATGATATTCTACATTACACTGGCAAGCAAAATTTTCAGAGCACCGTGGTATATTAATTATTTTTCTTAATTTTGTCCTTGAATTGAGAGGGATTAGCTGTCTGCTTTCCTCAGTACATTTTATTAGACTTTGAGAGCCAGAAAACAAACTACTAAATTTTCTTTAATATTCTATGGTGGATGTCAGAGTATCTTAGCCATAGTGATGCAAAAAAAGTCAGGCAAAAATACAGGGCCACTAGCAAAAATTTAACCTTTCAACTCTTTTCTTAAGTTAAAAAGGAATTTTTTTTTTTTCCAAAAATTGATCTTTCTTAAGATAGAAAATGTCAGTGTATGGAGTTAGCAATTAGTTCTGTTGCCTTTGGCTCAAAAAAATTTCTCAATTTGATGTTGCATTTAATAGAAAAAGGTTCAGATTTCCTCATTAGGATTTCTTTCCCATTCTTCTTGGCAGTAATCCCAAAGCTATTGGAGATTGTATGGTTTTTATTGGAGCACTTATTTCTTCATTTCTCACCACAATGCTTCAATTATATTGACATCCAGACTTTGTGTGGTCCAGTTTTCCAAAAGATGTTCATCGACAAGGAACATTTTGTTGTGCATGTTTGGCAAAGATCACCATCATGCTGAAAAATTTCTCCATTTCCACAGACTGACACAATTTTAGACCATCCTAAACTAATATTGCTTTTACTGTTTAAATCTTCTATCAACTTTTACCAACTTTCTTCCCTCTCCCATCAGTCTTCTTTCATGCAGTATTATCTTTCATTAGAATATAACTATTTTGCATTCATCACTAAAAAATTATTTTTTGCCACTTTTCAGCATCTGATGCTAGATATTCTTTTGACACCTTTTATCTTCTGTTCCAATGAATTTTGGTTAATGATGGGTATTTTTACTGTTATATTATTTTTCTCATAATACTGTGCACTGTATGAATTGAAATCTCACTGTTAAAACCACATTCATTTTCCACTTGTCTGACTGTTAATTTTGGATTGTTGATTGAGATTCTCACAATCTTTCTTTCATCTTCCTTGTTTAAAAATTTGTGTTCTTATAATTTTCTTTACACTTAAAGAACCTCCAGTAGTAGCAAACATCTTTTGGGTCATGTGGATAATGTTTCTGGAAATATCCAACCTTCTCACATTGAGTTATCTTCCCCTTTACAGTCAAAACCTTCATTTTTGTTTTAACAGAAATTTTAGCCATGATTTTAGTATAAAAAAAAAGCAAGCTGATATTAAACTACAAACACTTGTCAAAGCAACTTATGTTCATTTTAATAAGATGGAACAATTCTTACTTAGAAATTTCCATATTATTATGACTATCATCTCAGATCTTTTCTCATGGTTAAGACTATATTCACTCTTCACTTATTTGGTTGTTAATTCTTGGATTGCTGACCGAAACTTTTGATGTGGGCTGGTGAACACGTTGAGAGAGACTCGTATGTCTCCTGAAGTGTCCACAACAAACATGGCAGACTCAGGATGAGTCCACGTAAAGAAATAAGAAGAACTGATAAATGTGTACAAATGATAATCTATTAGCATCAAAGGTTTGCAAGTGACAATGTGTGTAACAAATGAATGTGGAAATTTTTTGATCCAAATTATGTGAAGTGAGTAAATGTGCATATGTGTGTATTGTTCATGCATTTACCAAAAAGGGAATGCGATCTTCCGCAAGAGATTTACATGTTGTCGTACAAGCGGAAAAGTAAGAAGAGCGAGAAAAGATATCACTGAGTATAAACTGGAAAGAAACGGTTTAGAAAATTAGGAGGAGGTCCCAAATAAAAAGGTATAGATTTTAATTAGTTTTAGCAAGGAAGCTAATTCACCAATAGTCATATTGGTGGATGCAACAAACTGAAACATTCTCTTTTCACTTATTTAGCTGTTAATTTTGGATTAAAACTCTCATTACTTTCATCTTTCTTATCTTATTTTGTGTTTTTCTTTGCCAAAAACATTTCCAATAGTAGTAAAAGTCTTTTTTGATGGTTTGAACATTATTTCCGGAAATTCTCAATCGCCTCTGTCTCTCTCGTTCTCTCTCTTTTTCGTTCTCTCTCTCTCTCGTTCTCTTTTCTCTCGTTCTCTCTCTTTCTCTCGTTCTCTCTCTCTCGTTCTCTCTCTTTCTCTCGCTCTCTCTAAAACTCTCTTTTCTCTAGTTCTCTCTCTCTTTTCTCTCTCTTTGAACATTATTTCTCAGAAATCTCTCTTTCTCTCGTTCTCTCTCTCTCTCGTTCTCTCTCTTTCTCTCGTTCTCTCTCTTTCTCTCGTTCTCTCTCTCTCTCTCTCTCTCGTTCTCTCTTCTCTCTCTCTCTTTCTCTTTCTCTTGTTCTCTCTCTCTCTCTTCTCTCTCGTCTCTCGTTTCTCTCTCTCTAAGTGTTCTCTCTCTCGTGTTCTCTCTCTCGTGTTCTCTCTCTCGTGTTCTCTCTCTCTCTCTCTCTCTCGTTCTCTCTCTCTCTCTCTGAGTCCTCTTCCCCTTCTGCTTTCTTTCAGCCATGACTTTAGTATAAAAAAGCAATGGTCAACTACAAAGACTTGCCAAGGCACTTTATACTCATGGGACAAGATGGGACAATGCCTACTTAGAAATTTGCATATTATCATGACTATCATCTCGGATCTTTCATTGGGACAATATAAAGGACCGATGCCTCAGGCTTTTGTTAGGGACACGTCAATGTGGTAAAATGGTTAGCGAGCTTGTCTCACTAGATCAGTTACAACTATTTGATCCTCACTGGGTGCTCTATATATTCATTGTGCCACATCTAAGCTACACTTAGTAAAATGTCTTAATACTTACTTTGTATAGAAGCAAACTTCTATTGAGCAAAGTTTAAATTAATAAGCTCAAGCCCTTGTAAGCCATCCCACCAGACAGTAGTTTTCCTATGTGAAGAAACTTGGTTCATTACCAATTGTCTGAGGCATCCTCAAAAGGGGAATTACCCAGGGGGATTTGAGCAGTTTTTCCATGGTATTGCCATTAAATCTCAACCATGTGTCAATTGGTAAGCGACTTATGTGCACTGAAAAATCAACTTTCATTGATGTAATAGTTTTGCATGGCCTTTTTTTCAACTTCAACCTGTTTAAAGCAATGTATTTTCTGTTATATGTCACCAATGAAAAAGCATCAATGTATTTCCCAATCCACCAGGTCCACAGACACTAGTGATAAAAGCATGCTGCTAAACAATATTAGCTTCTTTAAGAAAATAAAGATGTATAATCATTTGATGTAGTTGAACCAAAACTTTTGCACATGAGTGTATAAAGGGATTTATTAAACAAATGTGCCATGATGTTCATTTATATAAACAAGTAGAAAATTATGTCTTTATTTGTGTGTTGTAACTATTTACACTATTTATGTTATTTGGACTATTGTCCTCATCTTTGTCATATTCATGACGTTTCAGCCATTGTGTGCTCCAGCCTTCTTCAGGTGATATGCACTGGAATTTCAAACTGAACCCAAGGACACAATTACCCAGTTGATAAAAGTGTTGGCTGAAGTAATCCGAAAAGTGACCTGACCCAAAGAGTCATGAGTTCAATACCTGGTCACAGCAGAGGGGAACTTGGACAGTTGAATTACTAAAGGAAATTAACTGAAAACTGAGATATCCAAAAAAAAGGCATGTCATGTGGAAGTAGAACAATCTACACTGGTGAGTTTGGTTCAAAATTTCAACGTATATCACCTGAAGAAGGCAGGCACGTAAAACAGTTGAAACATCATGAATATGAAATAAAGATGAGGACAACAGTCTAAATATTCTAAATAATGTAATAAAAGTAGAAAGTTTTGTATGATAAGAAAGCATCTTCATCATTTGATAAGAAAGAGTATAGCATCTAAATAGTAATATGAGTAATAGCATCTAAAATGTGTTGCAGGAAGTTTATCTGGATGAAATCTAAGAAGCAAAAACATCAATGAGGAGGTATAATCTAAGAGTTAAATCTCAAGAGCCAAGGCAAGTAAGTTTAAGATTCTTTACTTGAAAGTAAAAACCAGTATTCATTATGATCTTCTATGAGCCATGTTTCTTCAGGACGTGGGTATTAATGGCTCTCCACAACATCCCATTCTTTGTAGCTCTTAATAAGCTTTATCTTTGCCCGATTCTTCCCATCCCTTGTTCTGCTGTCCATTTGCACAAGCTCATTAACTAGGATACTTGCTGATTTATTTTGCCTTTCCTGCATTCAGTATCTCCTGTGAGTCTAAAATTTTCTAAGCCCTCTTTCCTCATTATGTGCCCTAGAAATTTTGAATGTTGCTTCAATATATAAATATCCTTTTTATTGCCATTTTCTCAAAAGCTTTGTCCCTGTTCTCATATTCAGTTCATGGTATTCTCGGCATCCTTCTGTAGAACGACATTTCTCTTGCTTCGAGTCTCTTCTTCATAAGTGAGGAGATTGTCCAGCATTCACTGCCATGTAGGAAAACCAATATTGCATAACAGTCCACTACACTTTTCTTTGTTTCTAATAAAATTTTCATATTTCTTAATACTTGGTTTAGCTTTTGGAAGGCATCTTTCATTATCCCAATGCACTTTCAGATTTCAGTGTCACATTGTCTCTTCTCTGTTGCAACACTTACTAGATATTTACATTTTTGTACTTGCTTGATTTTGGTATCTCCAATTTGTAATTCACATATTAGGCAGTTTCTTTTGTTGACAACTATATATTCTTTCAATTGATAGTCCTTTCTTTTCCCTTTTCTTTATTACCTTCTGTAGGAGTTCCTTTCTCTGTCTGTTATCAACACTGTGTCATCAGCATATCTTATGGGGCAGTCAATGATAAATCCTGGTAGGATATCTAATTCTCTTAGGATTGCTTCACTGTCAAGGTTGAATAAGTCTGGTGAGAAGACACATCCTTGTCTTAGGCTCTTTTTTATTTTTATATACCTACTGAATTAATTTTCCTTTCATATTATTCTAATATCCTTCCGAAATAAATTAAACTGAGCTCAAATATATCAATGTAAAACACTTCGTCAAACACTTTTGCATAATCTATGAAACGTAAATCTACATTCTTTTGCCTTTGTATAGCTGTTTCTAATATCAATTCTGAGCAGACAAACAAAATACTATTTGAAATAAATTTAAATTTCCAGATAATTTTAATGTTCTAGTTCTATGTGCCATGTTCCTTCAAAACGTTGGTGATTATGGCTCTCCACGTCTTCCTGTCCTTTGTAACCCTTAGCAAATTTTGTCTTTTTGCTAATCTCCTAATCCCTGTTCTGCCACATATTTACACAAGCTTGTTAGGTAGGGGTTATGCACTGCTTTCCTCTGTTCATTCTCAACATCCTTTTGTAGAACCATATTACTGTTGCTTCAAGCCTCTTCTTCATCTGTGATGTGATTGTCCAGCATTCATTGCCATATAGAAGGGCTAGTATTATGTAACAGTTCAGTACACTTTTCTTTGTTTCTAACAAAATTTTCTTGTTTCTTAATACTTTGCTTAGTTTTTGGAAGGCATATTTCACTAAAATATATAAAAAAAAAAACTGTAAAAGAAAAATATGAATCAACCAAATACTCCAAAAGTGAAATGGGTGGAAAACAAGTATGTATCTTCGTACCAGAAATTATTATCAGTTGACACAATTTTAACAATGTAAGATATACAGGTGGAAGACAATAGAATATATATATATATATATATATATATATATATATATATTTCCAAATAAGAAAAAGAACAGATGGAGTAAAAATCCAGAGTTTGTAGCATTTTAGCATCCTATATAGGTGTTCCGCATTTTTAATTATATCAGTTGGCCCCTTTAAGAAGCTTCCTGAATTTAAAAAAAAGTTAAAAAAAAAAAAATTGTTTCTGATAACTTAATGCCAACTTCAACAAATTGGAACATCATAATTGGCTACATCAGTAATACATTTGTCGCTGCCATGTTTCCTACGATTGTTGGATGACATATCCATGTGTCGGTTTAACTTGACATGAAAAAATAACCCACATCCACCCTCTGACTATATTTTTCTATTTTAGTATAGAGCTAACTTTTAATTGGTTAATCAAGACATACCCACAAATATATTTTTTTAATTCTGACATTATACCCCCGACTCTTTAACTTCTGAAAAGAGGTAAAAATTAGTTTTGAGATTTTCCTAATAAATCATTTTTCATCACAAGTTACCTACCATCACCTGAGGAAGTACAATCATAGTATTGAAACCTGAATGCTTTTGTGTAGCATTATAAAATGTTTTTATTATACTCTATTATAATAAAAATATATATATGTGTGTGTGTGTGTGTGTGTGTGTGTGTGTGTGTGTGCAGAAAAATAGGAAAGAATATGTTAGGTAAATAATCTGGAGTTCTTTAGTATTTTTTTTTTATTTTTAAAAAACAGTGCTCCATACAGATGTAGAGCTTGGTCGTCCCAATGAACATGCTTATAAAGATGCATAAATTTCAAGATTGGTTATTCCTAAATTTTTGCTTGAGGATGAAACTCAATTTAATTTTAATAGTTATATTGAGGCTTTCGGCTCTTGTTTTTGAAGTATGAGAACTCTTATGTAGTGAAAGAATCATATTTTTTTTTAAATAATTATAAATATATATATATATATATATATATATATATATATATATAGTCATTAGCAAGAGAGAGAAGCCAAGAAAAAATTTCAGACATCAGAATCATGTCAATAGAGAAATTTAATTATCATGAAATCTTTTTAACACAGGACAGAAAATATGACACAAAAGTCCAAAGATGCATTGGAGTCATGAAAAATGCCTTCCGAAAACGAAACAAATATTGTGTAGTCAGAAAAATTTGTTTGCTTTTTTTCTATTTATTTTAATCCTGTCAATAATCAAAACAAATTGGTCAGTGACATAAAACAAATCAGACAATAACAAAAAATAAATTGATCATTAACAGAAATCAATAAACAAAACTTATCGAGAGAAAAGATACAGCTATAAAAAGAAGATAAAAAAACTACTGTCAAAATATTTTGTGTGCCAACGCAAATAACATTGGGATAAAAAAATTATTTCAGAACTTAAAGAACAGAAAAACTTCACAAGAAACAAAGAAAAGAGTGTTGGACTACTATGTAATACCAATGTTCTTATATAACAGTGAATGTTGGACACTTTTTTTTCATAAGATTTGAGGCAACAGTAACGTGGTTCCTCAGAAGGCTCCCGAGAAGACCCTGAACAGAACACATGAGCAATGGGGAGGTTTTAAGGAAAATGGAAATTAAGAGATAGTTAACATTTATGAGACGTAATGAGGAAAGAGGGCTTGACGAATTTGACACTCACTGTACATACTGAATGCAAGAGAGGCAAAGGGAAACATTGAGTGAACAACTTAATAGGATGGCAGGAGGAGGACTGGGTGGGATAGCAAAAGGACAAACATTTTCTATAACTAAAAATAATAGGAAGTTGTGGAGAGTTATGATCGTCTATACCCAGGAGAGATAGCATATAAAAGGAGGAGGAAGAGGAGAATAGTTTGTAGCATTTTAGCATCCTATATAGATGTTTCACATTTTTAATTATATCAGTTGGCCCCTTTAAGAAACTTCATGAATTTTTTAAAAAATTTAAAAAAAAATTTGTTTCTGATAACTTAATATCTACTTCAACAAGTTAGAACATCTTACTTGACTACATCAATAATACATTTGTTGCTGCCATGTAAGACATAACGAGGAAAGAGGGCTTGACGAATTTGACACTCACAGTCCATACTGAAGGCAAGAGAGGCAAAGGGAAACATTGAGTGAACAATCTAATCAGATGGCAGGAGGACTGGGTGGGATATTAAAAGGACAAACATTTCCTATAACTAAAAATGATAGGAAGTTGTGGAGAGTTATGATTGGAGGAGGAAGACGAGAACAGGCTTCACAAAACATTATATTTCACTTGTACTATGTTTTTTATTGTGTATTCTTTCTGCTATTTATTTTTTAGCTTCAGGGGTTTTTTGGTGGGGGGGGATTTTTTGTTTTTTCACAGTGGGATTCACTGATGCTATCATATAGTATATCGGAAAAAGATATTTAAAGAGAAAAGGTTTGAACATGTTCTTTACTACAAAAATTATATCGCTGTTTCTATCCAACATCTTTTTTTTCCAGTTGACTCAAGTTAAGAAGCACAAGTTTGTGTAAATATTTAGATGGCAGAGCAATTATGAAGATCAAGTGTAGATGCAAGTACTTCATCCACTTGGACAGAAAAAAAAGTGCTGTCAAATTGTTAGCATATTTCCACTGGTGTAAGGTTAATATGAAACCGGTGTGATGCACAAGGAAAATTATAAGAAAAAAGCAGAAGGTAATAAATGCTTGCATTGATGGCAGACAGCTTTAAAATATGTCAAACGAGTACAGAGATTTTGTTTATTACTTAAAACTTTCTCTGCCTGACATATAAATGGGTAATATCTATCTATCTCACTGTTCATATCTGTCTAATTCTGTTTTTATCTCAGGCTCTTCATACTTGTCTATTTCTCTATTTCAGTTTGATTATATATATATATATATATATATATATATATATATATCTGTCTAAGTTTTGTTTTCATCTCTCTCGATCTAAGTTTCCAATCGCATCTCTTTCTGTATTATATATAGGATGATAACTCTGATGTTTCTGCTACATATTTAGAGATTCTTGAGAAAATAAAAAGAAGAATCTGCAATGTTATTGGCCCTGACCTGGCATCTCGACTTCAGTCACTTTTTCCACTGCCATAACGTAGCTTCCTTGTAACTTTTCTATAAATACTTTCATGGAAATTTGTCTGATGAACTCAACTGCTTGTTTTTTGAGGTTTTTTGTACATATAGGAACTTTGTAGATACTTTGAGGTATTATTATGTTGGCTGTAGTAAAAGTGTGGTGTTTTAGTGCAAGGAATACTATGGTACATTTGGGTGTGTGTTTGTTGCTAGCTAAGACAAATTAAAACCAGCCTTCCTCCATCCCCACCTCTGGCCTTGTGCCACATTTTTATATTTGCTAAATAAATATTACATTTCTGTTTGGTATCTAGACTTCATGAATTTAAGTGCAGTACTAGATTGGCAGCAAGGTCTCATGATTTTACAGTTGAAATGGCTCAATGTAACTGTAAGTTCTAGGCTGACTGTTTCTTCTCTTGCACTTCTCACTTGTGGAACTCTCTTCCCGCTCCTTGCTTTACAACCAACTTTGATCTTCAGAAATTCAAATGCATTGTCAATCGTTTTCTTTTGCCTTCTTAATTTTTGTTCTTTCATTGTTCTCCTATTCTCAGTAACCCCTTGTGTCTTAGTAGCTTTATTGTCTTACTTGAGGTAAAATGATTAACAATACATACATACATACATATATATATATATATATATATATATATATATATATATATATATATATATTTAAAATTGATTTTATTTTTTTAGCTACACAGTTCCAACCATGTTTCAAACATAGAAGCTAAAAACCCCTAATTTAATTTTGCAATTAAATTAAAAGCATTAGTTCCATAAAATTCGCTTGAAGATGAAATGGAACTAATGCTTTTAATTTAATTGCAAAATTAAATTCGGGTTTTAGCTTATTTTGAAACATGGTTGAACTGTGTAGCTAAAAAAACATTTTAAATCAATTAATTATAATATTAATGCTCTGTAAATTTACATTGAGCACTATTTTGTAAAATAAAAATATCTATAAGAACACCGGATTTTATATCTTACTGTTCTTTCTTTTTTATTATATATATATATATATATATATATATATATAATCATATTAACACAGGTTACCATTAAAAGAATAAGTAATCTGGGGGCTTCATTTGGTATTCTACGTTGTTGTTGGGTTTTTTTTTTTCTAATAAACTCTCCACCACCCAACTCTTCAATTTCCCACATTTGAAGGGCTGGCTTTAAACGTTACAGGTAACTAACTAGAAGAAGCTGTATTAAGCATCTCTTTCTCTCTCTATCTCTCTCTCACTTTTTTTTCCCTGTTTCTTTCTCTCTCTCTCTCTCTTAGTGTTTCCCTGAGTCGGGGGGGTTTACCTTCTCTCTTAGAATGTTTTTTTCTTTCTCTAATTCTTTCCTTTTATTTACTCACTATTATTTACTTCACTCCCACTCACTCTTACCATCCACCTATCTCTATCTACCTACCTACCTACCTACAAACTTTTCCTCTTTCTTTCTTTCTAACCCCTACCCATCTATGCTCCTTTGTTTCCCCCAGCTTTATACACACGTAGGTAAACATAAGCAACTAATCTGCCCCCACTCCCCCAACTGAATGTGTCTGGGGAGTATTCATCGCTGTTTCAGCTGGTAAGAGGCCAACCGAGCCCTGGGCTGCAAGGGTTTTTCTATATTCTGTAGAATGTAAGAATTTGCAGACAGAATTGTGACCTGCCGGTGGGCAAATTAAAAAATGTGGCCCACACTAACTAGGAGGGTCTCAGGTATTGTCCATATATTTTTTTTTTCTTTTAAGTATTTTTGTCTTTTCAAGTTTACTATTTGAGTTTCTTTTTTTTTTTTTTGATATTTTTTTTCATTTGTTTTCTTTTGCATTCAAAATTTTACCACTGAGTATCATCATTGTTGTTGTGTTTTTTTTTTTATTCCTCTTAAGCTAGTTTTCTTTTTCAAAACCATGTTTTTTTTTTTTCTTTTTTTTTTCTAATTTTGAACATTTCTTTATAAACACGTTAATAAACTTAGTTTAATAAATCACAGGGCTGAATTGGTGAGAAATTGTCAAGATGTGGGTTGAATCAATGTTCCAAGTTGAGGATGGTTTGTTTACCTAGAAAATCAGCATTTGAACACCTTGGTTCTTTCTAGTTTTGAACAAAATCCCCCAGCACTTATGTCATTATACACACCCACCCACTCACTCAGGCCACCCTCTTCTTTTCTCTTTTTTACCTCCATCTTCTTTTTTACCACTCTGTTTTCAATTTTTTCTTCCTCTTTATTTTTCATATTATCTTTCCTAATATCTTTAATCTCTTCATCTGATGTTTCTTTCTTCAATAACTCCTTATTCATTTTTTTTCATTAATTTCATTGAAATTCATTTACATTTTCTAGATGTTTTTTCTTATTTTTTTTCTTCAAAGATTTTATTCCATTTTTTCCCACATTAATTTTCTTTGTTTCATATTTCTTGCCATTTTCAATTTTTCATTCTTTTGCATTAATTTTTTCATTATCCTTCATTCAGTTTTTCCTTCTCTTTCACGGAACTTTTTTTTTTTTGACAGATTTTCTTTCAATTTCTCTTTCTCTTTTATTCAAATTTCCTTATTCTTCTCACTGCTTTTACATTCATTTCTTTTAATGTTACAAACTCAAGATGATCGTTGAGTTTCTTTCTAATTTCTCCTTCATTTTTCCCCATATCACTTTTGTGTTTTCATTTACCTTTCTTTTAAAAACCTTTTTTCTTCCCATTCCCCAATCATTAGTCTTCTTACCCTGATCTGTTTCTTCACAGAAATTCCTTTCCTTCCCTTTAAAGTGCATGCATACCCCTGCATATTTGAATATCCACCCAACTCTACCCATATCTCTTCACCACCATTTTCTCACAGATACAAAGTCTTACAGATGAATGCACAAATATTTGTACCTTACGCACCATATGTAGCTCTACAAATACATATATATATATATAAAGGGAAGACAGGATACAGATATATATATATATATATATATATATATATATATATATATATATATATATATATATATATATATATATATATATCCTTCTGCTGAGTATTTATGGTTCTGTATGTAGGAGATATACATCAATAATATAAATATATATATATATATATATAAAAGATTCTGTTTCGCAAAAAAATAAGTCAATCAGTATATTTTTAGAGAATAACATTTTTCAGGGAAGCAGTCTTTTTCAAGTAAATTGCTCAATATTAAGAAATAGAGTATTACACACACACACACACACACACACACACACATATATATATATATATATAAAAAACACTCTATTTCTTTAATATATATATATATATGTGTGTGTGTGTGAGAGAGAGTTTGTGGGTGTGTGTATGTATATATATATATATACACATATATACATACATACACACATATATATATTGTTTGTCTAATGATCGCAAAAGCATGAAATCCAGGGTCACAGATGAATATGTTAGCGCTATCACTGATATTAAGCACTTTCCAATAAGTACCACTCACATACACACATATATATATATATATATATATATATATATATATATATATATATATATATATATATATGCACACACACACAATGATAAATATATAGTTTGTTCCTCACAATTTGGTACAATTCTGAGTGCCATGCATATAACAATTGTCTGGAAATAAAGACAAAAATTATCCAACATTTGAAATTTTTTTTAATTTTGCTGTTCCTCGATCTAAGCTTTTGGCTCAGATGAGCCATCATCAGAGTTCTATGGACATTCTAACAGAGATTTTCACCATCAAAGATGACATCCTGTTATGTTTACATGGATGTTTGCTATGCGATAATGGTTGCAGAATTTTGTCTTTATTTTCTCCTGAGACTAAAGCCCCTATATGAAGCTTAAAACAGTTCATGATCAAACATAATAGACATTCATTGACTGCTATATTTAACAATATATGTTTAAATAATGATCTACTGTCCCAATACACTATATATATATATATATATATATATATATTCATTATTTAAATGTTGTTTGTAATGGATACCCATATTTGAGTAAATGACTTCTTTTTATATTTATTTATTAAACAAGAAATCTTATTAGAAAAATATTCACTCTCATGCACATTTTTCAAATAAGATTTCTTGTTTAATAAATAAATATAAAAAGAGAGCCTCTACTCAAATATAGGTATCCATTACAAACAACGTTTATGCAATGAATTAATAAATAAATATCTCCACATACAGACTAGACATCCGAGTGCTTCAAACCGGGATCAAAACTCAATGATTCGCCATCAGAGACTCCCCCACTATGTGTGTGTGATAAATTTTAAGGTATACTATATTTATGGGTAAAATTGATCAATATCAGGGATAGAAAGTGTAAATATAAAATTGGACACTGAGATAGATATATATATATATATATATACACACACTGATGTACATCAATAAGTCTTTCACCTGATATTTAGTTGTGTTGAAAGTTAATCATTTATGTTCCCCACTTAATTAAGTGCCTCAGCAAAGAAGAGATTATGTTGAAAAATAAATCATTGTGTAAAATCCTTTTTCGGCCTATAGTTTTAATGGTGTAGCTATTTATACACACATAGACATATATATATATATATATATATATATATACATACATATGTATATATATATATATATATATATATATATATATATATATATATATATATATATATATATATATATATATATATATATATATACATATATATATATATATATATATATATATATATATATACATACATATATATATATATATATATATATATATATATATATATATATATATATATTATATATATATATATATATATTGTTAAATATAACAGACAACGAGTGTCTATGATGTTTGATCATGAGCTATTCTAAACTTTGTATTGTTGCTTTAATTTGGGGAGAAAATAAATACTTAAATTGTCCAACATTTGGATATTTTTTTTTATGCTGTTCCTTGATGTAAGATTTCGGCTCACATAAGCCATCTTCAGAGTGGTTATACAGTCATTTAAACACAGATATTGACCATCAAAGATGATATTCTTTTATGTTGACATAGAATTGCTACATGATGATAGCAGTCGTAGAATAGCAGATGCAGGTCGTAAATTCATGATGCGATTCTATGACATTGACCATTTGTGATATCAGTCCTTGATAATGGCTAAAAAGATAACCAAAAGTGCTTGGAATTACAGAACATTTGGTCAGTTTCCACACACTCTGTGTCCAGAAAAGGAAACACTTGTTGGAACGCAAGAAAAATAAAAAGCCTAAATACAGTACCTTATCTGTCATCTTTAATAAAACATGTATAAATGAAGGATTGCTGCCTTAAATACAAATTAAATATATAATTCAGAAGATGAGAATACAGCATATGATTACTTGTAAAGAAAAAATATTTTGTGTAAATAGTTATGTTTAACAAGGCCACAAATACACTCCTAATTGATGTTTGAACTCATTACAAATGACCTTTGAAGCTTACATGCTAACCCTTGTTCCACAAGGTGACATCTAAAATATATATATATATATATATATATATATCTTAAAATTATTTTAAAAAAATATGATTCCATTGCTGCATAAGAGTTCTCATGTTTCAAAAACAGAACCTAAAAACTTCAATTTAATTATAAAAATTAAATCGAATTAAAGTATCAAGCTCTGTTTTGTCTTCAAGCGAAATTTTTGGAATAAGTAATCTTGAAATTTATGCAACTTTATAAGCATATTCATTTGTAAAATTAATTACTATGGAAACGGCTGAAGCAATGATTTCAATAAGGGGCGTAAGGGTTAACATATTGTATCAACATATTAGTTACACATACACACACACGCACACAGATATATATATATATATATAATAAATTTCTTATTTATTAATCTGACCGATTTTTAGTACTTAAATGTCATTTTTAGTGGATACTCATATTTGAGTAGATGTTCCATTTATTTATTAAACAGTTTATTTATTTATTTTCATCTACCAGCCTGAATATTTAAGAATATTATTAAAGAAAAAGATGTGCTCTCTAGCAGAAGAAACCATTATTAGATCCAACATGCCTTAGACCAGCTCAGCTACAAAGTGTCGTGTCAATGAAGCAAAGTCAAATACTGCCTTATAAGCGCAAATCCTTTTCAGACTCTTGAATGTTTATATCTGCTGTGTTTCTATATCCAAACGTAAACAAAACAATTTCTAAAGAAGTAATGGATTTTTTATTTATCAATCTAACAGATTTTATCACTTTAGAGATTATTTTTAGTAGCTACCCATATTTGAGTTGATGCTCTGTTTATTTATTAAATAGTATATTTATTTATTTTTGTATACCAGCCTCTTTCAAAAGTCTGGGAAGTATTTGCACTTATAAGTCATGTAAATAATGATAGTTACATGCAGATTATTGTCCACATCTTTGTTGTTGCTATGACTATATTTTGGCTGTTGTGCACTCCAGCCTTCATCAGGTG